CAAAAGTTTACCAAAGGTGACTGGGCCTCTTCAGTCATTGGGAATAACTGCTCGTAAACTACCAATAATAATAATAAACCTTGTGTTTGATATCGCACCTTATCAAGTCGTTGAGACGTCACTAAACACTTCACAGAATATATTGTAAAGTGGATTGACTGTGGGGTTTTTGGGGCGAAAGTCGGCAGCCAATTGCGCACAGCAGCGTCCCACAAACAGCCGTGGATTGAGTGACCACATTTTCGTCTAATGTACACAGGGGAAAAAAAAATGACCCAACACACAAACATGTGCACCAAAACCAAGCCGACGTTAAAGCGTAACCCGTGCTTAAGAGGAACACAGGACAGGGAAAAGAAATACACTGTCGTCCAACTTGTTGCTCCTGAAATACAAAGAAGACACAATGCAATTCACTTCCAACCAGAAAAACGTTGCAGCACAGAAGAGGGTCATTCAACCCATGGTTTCTGTGCCGGTGCCAATTCCCCTCCACTGGAGCCATCCACAAACCAAATTCCATTCCCCCCGCTCTTTTCCTGTGCCCTCCCATTTGATCTGCCCTCAAGTATTTATTTAATTCCCCCTACTTTGTTTTTTAAAAAAAAACGCAGTCGAGGGCTTCAGCTTCGACGAAAATTGCCCCTTCCACCCTTCAATCATATCGTTCGCTGACTATTTTGGTGGAGGGAGGTGGCGAGGAAAAGGGCAGGGAGTGAGATGGGTTGGGGATGTGTGGGGGCGGAGAGAAAAGGGAGTTAGAAGCCAAATGAAACAGTCTGCAAAACAAAAGGCAAAGTGAAATGTCGACAAAGTTCAATGTGACAAATCTGTCAAAACTGCATTACCCTACAAATAAATGGGCTTCAGAAAACGCCACTGCTTCTGCATATGGCTTCCTGTGCACGACTCGAAACTAGACCAAAATGTACTGTTCCATCCACCAATATCCCCCACCCCCACCGCCCCCTTTACACCCGTACTGTTATGCAATGATGAACCACCTAACCCACAGTTTCTTTATGATGGTAACATCTTCAAGAGACTTCCTTCCCTCCCTCGAACACGAGTTGCAGTAAACATTCGCTCGCATTTGAAACAGCGCCAAGAACAATTGCAACTTCAGAGGGAGTTCACAGTCAAGTGTAGTGACTGTAGTTTGCAGGCGAAAAAAACAACACGGCAGCGAATTTTGCGGCCAGCAATGCCCCACAAATAGCAATGAAGCGAATGATCAATTTAATTAGGGTTTTTGGGTGGCGGGGGGGGGGGGGGGGGGGGTGAGAGAGCACCTCCCTTGTCTTTATACGTTGCTAATGGAAATAGAAGTCCACTAATCTGAAATCCAGTCCCCAGAACACTTTTTAAAGAAAGTATTAATTTGTCTACTGACAGCAAAAAGTTTTGGAAACAAATCACCTGGTTTCAACAAGTCGGTGGCCACATGACAAAACTTTTTTTTTTTTAAAAATGCCTTAGTGTTAATGGACTGTGTCCACTGTAAATGCAAATACTGTCAGTTATTAAGTAGTGCACAAGATTTACACACTCACACACACATAATTGGGTTGTTGTAACAGACTTTGAACAGTTTATAACAGATGAACGATATTCTCACAAGACATTGGCCGTTTGTGTCCCGTCTATAACAGGTACAATTACCTTTACTGCGTGTACGTTTTAATGGACTGCACCCAGATCGGTGGGTACACTGAAAACTGGTTAGCTGTTCAGTTGAGTTAAAGAATGTGCTTATTAATTGCAGCCCTAAGGTCTGTTATTCCAGGTGCAGAACAGGTAAAGGGGAATGTTTCAGGCCCCGAGTGTCTGACAAGCTTTTCCGCTGCTTGTCCAGCTAGGACCAGCTTAACCATTTAGGCTCGCAGGATGAACAGGAGCCGAGTGGTGCGATTCCTTGGCGCCTCGTGACTGGTCCGCCTTTCCGAGCCCTGCCAACGAGCCGGGCTGGCTGGCTTGGCATCAGCGTGGCCCTGGAATACTGCGGACCCAGCTGGCTCAGTCAGAATCAGTACAGGTAGATTCCTGCCCTAGTGGGATGCTCCATCTAGCGGCTCACATCCGAAATGCCATGCAATCCTTAATAATAATAATAATAATCCTCGCATTTGATATAGCGCTTTTCACGTCGGGAGGACATCCCAAAGCGCTTCACAGAACACACTGTAAAGTGAAGTGACTGTATATTTGTGGGCGAACGCGGCAGCCAATTGCGCACAGCAATGTCCCACAAACAGTCGTAGATTGAAAATGACCAATTTATTATTGTGTTGGGTTTTGGAGGGATTATTATTAGGCTCTGTGTGGAGTAAGGAAACTTGCCCAAGGTTTCGCCCTCTGCCTGGGATTGAACTCAGGTCTCTCACTTGCAAAGCGAGTGCTCTAACCACTGAGCTACAGGACTCCTTTTTGTTAGGGGCTGCCTGCTCTACACACGACCGACCCCTGGAGAATGTGGGCTTACTCAGATCTCTCTCTCTCTTCCTCTCCTGTTGTTACGATCAGCTGCTCGTTGGTGCAGGCGAGAATCTGACCACACCATAAAAACACTCGACTTCGCTTCACGCACGCCAACACTCCACGTGTACATTTATCCACATTGAGACTTTTTTAAAAAAATAGGCAGCACTACTTTTGCAGCTCGTGAACGATACTGGCGCGTAAGCCAACTTTAGTAGTTTATTTAAATACAAGGCATTAAGACTCCCATGTACAAATGCAGCAATGTTCCCGAAACTGACTGCGTAAAAATTCAGCGGGTAAAAACGCCCCCGTTTTACAACAGAACTTCAGGCAAGCTGCTTGCTCTGGGACGTCCGCCCGACGTGAAAGGCGCTGTACAAATGTAATTTGTTGTTGTTGATATATAGTAGGGTTTGGGATATTTTTATAACGTTAGAATGGAAGGGGAGTTGTGGGCACAGTGAAAACCGCCCGGGCTGTGGCACGGTCAGGAAAATGAGGCAGTCAGCAGGGAAAAATGCTTGTCTTGTACTGCCGCCAATGTATAGTGGCAGGAAAACAAAGTCAACTTTCTCTCCACGAATTATGGGCAGTTTTGTGCTCTGGTCTGGACCAACTGTCAATTGGCCCAATCTCATTTCCTGTACTGTAGGAGCCTCTACAACCAGCAACGAGACCTCCATTCCATTATTAAAGGCCACGTCCAATCCCAGGTCCCAGGCGTGAGTGAACAATACGTTCCACCCCTCCGTGCCACATAAACCCCATCAACCTCCCTTTGTAACCGCTGATGAAATTCACCATCAACGTCCAACAGCTTGTGGGGTTCAGATCACGTTGATTCGGGCTTTCTGCTCGGCTTTCAACAGTTAGCGTTTATAAAGCGTCCCAGAGCGCTTAAGGTAAGGAAGCGGGGAGCACTTTCACACAGGAAAGCAAGGATCTGGTTAGAAACATCACCACGTAAAACGAACGGTGCCAGGTTTCCAAACCAGAAAATAAGCCTCATTTGGAAAGTTGTCATTTTAAAGTTTACTACTGTATTGCGTCTGGCAACAGAGAGAACTCAACACATGCTGCTTACTTCAAACAATTTAATGGCAACTTGGGAGGCATTAGGAACGAACTCCAGAATGCATAAAGTTAGTCATTAAATATTTATAGAAAGTACATGGTATATTTACAGAGTGGGGGGAATTTGAGCAATTCTAGCTCAGGACATCGAAGGAATAAGTAGCCACGCCAGATCAGAGGGTTAAAATCCCTCCAAGATTTGAGCTACAAAGATTGTTTAGTCTTAAAATTGAAAATTGCGGAAAATCCAGGATTTTAATTTGGCAGACGAATGCATAAAAAAGAAGCAGCTTCCAAATAATGACTGAATCTAGTAATTTTCCATAAACGCTTCACGCATTAAGCACTTTGCCCTTCCAGGAACAATTTTTGAAGCTTCTCTCATGTAAAGAAAACATCTTCCCCTCAAGGCGTAAACTACACCGAACGTAAAACAAAAAGAATCGGTGAATCTTCTCAGAAATGTTATCCACAAGATTCACTGCGAGGATCAGAAATGAATTTCAAGTCGGTGGTTATTTCGAGCACCGGGTTCAGGAATTACTCTTAAACCTTTCAACGGGTTTTAATGTGGCGATAAAGAGCGCAACGGGACAGTTTTATACCCCCAAGACGGGTTATACTCCCAATTGTTTTTAAAAGTTAGCAACAATTCACCTACATTAGAACTATGTTGTAAAGGATTTACAGTAATTTTCATGACTGTAAAAGACGGGATGGTTAGCAGCGTGCGTTTATATCGCGTCCTTCTCGTAGGATAACCTCTCAAATTCAGGGCTGGACGTCAGTCAGCAAAGCAACTCAAATAAATATATCACCTTTGCAGTCTTTTCTTTACCCCTCCCTCCCTTTTTTAAAAAAAATATAAACAGCGGCCGAAATCTCACACACACTCAAGGAAAGCGTCTCACCCAGGACAACATAGAGCAGCTTATTGATGACTCTTTTAACCATAGGTTTACTATTTTGGGGGAGGTGGCTGGTCACAGAAATAACCGGTATATTCTGTGAAGCGCTTTGAGATGTCTCGAAGACGTGATAAGGCGCTCTATCAAATGCAAGGATTTTTATTATAATAAGTCTTAGAAAGAAATGCTGTGGCTGTGGACTGGGATTCATTATCAGTTAATATCGGTTGTTGACGTCATTGTGTATTATATCAGCAAAGGCCACGAGCTAACAAACTACTGACCAATATGGAAATAAAAGGAACATATTTCAAATAATGCATTGTAGAGTTTTAAGACTTCATAACTTTGATGTTGTAATTGGGAATCCACATTTGTGCGGTTCCTACTAGAGGTGTATTTGGTCGAAAAACACACTTACGATTTTACTTTTTGGAGGAAGAGGGGAACGGGAGGGGTTTTAAAAAAAAAAGAGCGATTATGGCTTCAAAGTAAAACTATTCAAATCTGCAAAAATGGATACTGCACCACAGAGAGTTATTTTTTTAGAGTTTTATATAAAACACAAAATGTGGCCAACCATAACAAAACATGAAAGAAATTACTTCAGATATGCAATGCTCGAAAGGTTAAGTTGCAAACATTTGTAGATTATAGAAGTTTGAAAACACATCACCACTTTCTTCACCTCTGCTGTCCATTTCTTTATTAAAAATGTACAGCCAATTCCCAACATAACGAATCTGCAAATATCACAGTGAACTGTAAAAGCCCCTTTTAACTCCATATTATTTTACAATGTCTGATGCTGAAAAAAAAATTGAGCTGCTGCTATCACCCAAACTTTAATTAAAACACTTCAAACATCAAACTTGCAGGGGTGCTTCAATTTCATTCCATCGCCTTACATCTCCAGCGGAAACAAAATTGAAACGTACAAAATCCCTTAAAACTACACACAGCGAAGGGAGTTAATTGGGGTGGGGGGGGGCGGGAGGAGGAAGAGGGAGGGAAGAAAAAGGAGTGGCTGGCAAACAGTTATCCAAACAGATTTATTGGCATTTTCCTTAGGCATCAATTGACAATGAAATATATGAAATGCAGTAAAATGCAATAGGCAATACTAACAAGCAAATCTTGGCAACGCCTCAATGTGCCCCCAGTTATCCTAATTGTGCTACTTGCTTCAGCCCCATTCAATGCAAGTTTGCCTATTGGGACACAGAAATGGTAAAAGCATATTTTACACTTGGAATTAACAGTCAAAAAATACTCCCCAAGATTTGCATCCTGCCTGTGGTTCACTAATCACACATGTAAACTCTCCTTTTTGCTGTTAAAGGTTATGCAGGGGTGTGGTCTCATTTTATTATTAATGGAATTTGAAGGCCCTCTCCCGACTTCATACCAGTTTCAGTATTTAGAAGGGGTTAAATTACATTCAAAACGCAAGTCAACCAAGCATTTTCATAAATACTTTTAAAGCAATGAGTTGTGTCAGACACTGCATTGGGGGGAGTTTAATATTTTCAAATGTACGTTACCTCCTTAACATATGGGAGTAATAAGTACATGACTATCTACCTTTGGTTAGATGCAATTTTTCAATCTGTGACAACCCATCACATAAACAGCATTTATACAAACTGTTTGCTAGATTAGAAATTATACTCTTGCATTCAATTAATGTGCAATGAATGATAGCTCAGGACAGAAGACAATTAAATTTGTTTAATTAAACAATTAGCCAGACTGTACTTGGGCTGGGGCAATAATGGCAGCTCAATTTTTTCAGGTTGAGTTAGGAACGTCAGGGCTAAGGGAAGCAATCCCCTCCTAAAATGGATTTCAATTCCACTATGAAGTACACCAACTCAATAGTAATAACCCTTGCTCAATAATAATTTTGAAATGGGAGACAAACCAATGGAAATAACACAAGACACGATACTTCCAACATGTATCGCTGTTAAGTCAACAGAAGGCACCTGAAAACAGGGTTACGTTAGGTTTCTGGTCAATGGTCCCAAATGCATAGGCTCTTTTCCTTCAATCACGTTCAAAATATTCTCCAGGGAAGACCATTGTTCTGATGTCACAGTCCCCGACAGGCATAGTGTTTAATAGTTTAACATGTGCTGAATTAAAGAGTTCACTGACAACTGAACAACAAAAAGGGGCTCATTCTTAATCGATCCTCAAAGACCTTTAACATGTCTTCACAGTTGCTCAAAAAAAAATAACTGCTTGAGGAAACCATTTTACACCAGTAGATATTAAATGTCCTGTAGCGAAAATAAAAAAAGGAAATCTAAAGCCCATGTAAATTGGATGTCAACATCTTAAGAATTGGCTGTACAAGTTATTTTTTTTTGTAACTTACAAAGATATGGCTGCTTTGACAAAAATGCTGATACAGACAAAACAATTGCGCAGTTTTTTTCAGGATTCAATCACATTCATTTTTTTTTAAACATTTCAATCTGCAAAAAAAAAAAAAAAAAAAATACAATTCAGTTCACAAGACCAGACACGGCAGCTCGGCGATCTTTGGGTTGTGCATTTCGCATCTTCCCCCCCCCCCCCCTTCCTAGTTATACTTAAAAGCGTACCTCTAAACGTTTTGAAGGCAGAGAACTAACACACTTAATCTTGACATCTCTTTTCGGGACTCCGAAATTCTGTAACATTTACAAGGAACAGCTTGACCTTTATATACTTTTACAAGAAACTGCCTTCGGATACAACGCAACATTTCCACGTGACTGTGTTCAAACTGGAGTTACCGACAAACCAAACCTATTGAGACTAACAGAACCACCGAACTAAGTTCGAAGGTTGACCCAACATTTTTTTTAAAAAGTTTTTTTTTCCTGAATATGGTGTTTCAAGCCTTTTTTGTAGACCATCTCAAACCTTAGTTGAGACTTAAATAGATGAGCAAACATAAAAAAAAGTTTGAAAGACTGGGCCAAATAAATCCTGCATTGCCTTCACAAATAGTAGACTTGGAACAGTCCGACTTGTGACTAATGGACATTTCCTTACGAAGACATTGAAGCCCTCTCACCCCCACCAAAAACAAATGTGATATGATTACGATGCTGACAGGATCAACAAAAGATCATAGGCCGTATTTACATTTTTCAATTAAATGGATGGAATCTTTTTTTAAGACAACTTCAGTTCTGTCTATATACTGATTTATGATTTACGTGCGAAAGGCTAGAATGCCATTAACAGAAAGCATTTAGGTAACGTAATACAGTGGAAAGTGAACATCAAGCAAAGTTGCAAACGGCGGCTGCCTTTACAGTAACCCTGTTCAGGTTACGCCTAGAAAGACGGCCATAAAACCGAATCTACACCTACTTTTAATGAAGCCAGTTCACTAACAAAACGCGTTGTGGCTACATGTATTTACAGCACCTCAAGGTTTGAAGGCCAAGATATTTAGGCCATGTTAGATTTGCAAGGGACCTCGATCTGATCCTTTGCTGAAATACGGCTCGCACTGTCAAATTTTCAAACCACTGCAGTAACAGTCGTCACAGAGAACAAATCCACAGGAAGATTTCAGAATATGGCAAGACTGAAAACTAACCGGATATACGCAGGTGTTATTTTTTTTTTGATAATACACAAAGATCAACAAACCCTTTAGAATATGAACATTCCCTTTCACGTTTCAAGTTTGTGTGCGGTGGGGGTGGGAAAGAGAAGAGGGGGTTGTAGCACATAATTTTCAAACCAGCGCTCACATCGATGGCCAAATTCCCCCCTCCACCAATGAGGGAGGAGAGAATTTTGCCTAATTTCTGCCACAACTTTGTAGTTTTTTCATCAGGCTTTTAATTTCTTCACTTGAAATTACCTTTTGAGAACATGGAGAGAAACAAAACGATGCCACAAATTAGTGCTAGGTTTGTAAATATTCTACAAGTCTCCCAAGTTTGAAAATGATTAAAGCAACTCCCATAAAATAAGCCAAATCCAAATGGTTCAATCCCCTCACGTGCAGGACACAAATAGGGAGACGGTCTCTTCAAAACCCACTCAAGCCTCGTGTCTAAAGCCTTGTGAACTGAGCTGTCAGTGAAGTCATATTCTAACTACTTATATAAAAAATATCCCCTTGTATTGTTCAGTCATCCCCAGAATTAATATCGTCTTCGTCCTCTTCTTCTTCCTCGTCTGGCTCTTCATCCTCGTTTGTGTCTGGTGGAGGACTCTTCTCTTTCTTTGATTCTTTTGCAGAGCTCTCGAGTGGCTGACCTTTGGAAGGTGGTGATGCCTTTGTGGCAGCATTTCGACCCTTTCCCTTGCCTTTTACTGGACTGGGAGTTGCAGGAGTAACTTGAAGAAAGGTACACAAAACAGTGATTTAACTCAATAAATACCCAGGAAACCCACCACGATTAATCAACCGTGCTTCGCAAGAGGAAAGAACCTTCAAAAACAGTCACTGCAGAAATCTCAATTGGTTAAAGTGTCCTAGAAACAACCACACTAGAGGCTAGGAGCTCGGTGTCAGCCTGAAACTCTCCACAATTAAAGCTCCCAATCGGGGCATCTGCTCCCTCAGTCGTTCACCCAGAGATTTGATGGGAGTCACTTTCATGTCCGTCCTCATTGCTCAATTGCAAAGCATCACTGGCAGAGTGACCTTTGAGTGCTGCTTAAGTTTGATACCATGATTTCCATGAACATTTAGAATTTTCTGAAAAGTCCACACATACAGCATCACAAATGAATTACTGAAATTTGCTTCAGTATTTTATAGTAAAATAAATAGTAAAAGAAGCAGAATCTGCTTCCGGAGGAAACAGATATTAAACTCAGTTAAGACAAAAAGTATTTCAGCGTTAAAATAAGTGTTTAACTACTCAAAGGAACACTTCAATTAATAGATTAGCCAACTCGGCCTGAAAATGAAAAGAATATTAACATGGTGCTTAAAGAGTGGGAAGAAACTCATGCATAACGGCTGAAAAAATAGGTCACGTTTGCTGACTGCTGGAAAGAATGACTGGGAATTAATTAAAGTGACAAATCCACCTTTTAAGTAGGAAATGGGAGTTTTTTTTTAAAGCAATGAAAATATAATTCAACAGCAGTTATTTTCACAAATGCACCCGTCAAGACACTGAATTGGTGAAACTGCAGCATCGCTCAGTGAGGTTACGCGGCTTACCTGTGGCGCTGAGCCGAGGTTTAGGCGTTTTCTTTTCTTTCTTTTCTGGTACCACCTTTGTCTTTCTTCCCTTTTTGCTCTTCTTCAAGGAGCTTTCATAGTCACTGTCATCATCCTCTTCCACATAGAAGTCTGCATCACTACCAGAATCTCCTTCTACATAACAAGCATTAAGAAATAATCATTTAACAGAAATGACAGCATATGAGGCTATTCAACCCATCCACTCCTCCATTGGCGCCAACAATACCAATTCAAATTCCCCACTCTGTATCCAATCACATCATTAGATTGGCACTGGTGCTTTCACCACACAGAGGGGAGTGGGACAGCCTGCTCACATTTTTGTGCGATCAAAAAGGGCAAGCACATCACTTACTCTCCTGAATAGCCTCTTCATCCTCATCATGCTCTTCATCACTCCCTCCGTCGTCCAGCAGAATCTCTCTCTGTTTGGATGCAGCTTTAGAAGCAGCTTGCCTCTTCTGACGACCGTCTTTATGGACTTCTTTTTCATCTGCACTTTCATTGTCCCCTGCTGGATAACGCAAACAGGTTTCATTACGCAACTTGATTTTTGTGATTTTAAACTTAAATACGCCTTCGACTCCAAGACACAACAAATGGCTTTTTGTGGCATGTTAGATATAGCAGCCATCTCAGTTTTTTTTTGCTACCAAATTTAAGTAAGTTTATTAACAGTACAGTAAGCAAATAACAACAGAGTTGTACTACCACTGAGTTCCAGCTGGTGGTGACGGCACTAGGCGTCACGATTCTCTCAGCATCACAATACAAACGGAAATCATCAACCACATTGAAATTATAAAGTCGTGACACTGCCCAAATAGCTTGCAAACAACAAAGTCACACTCACAAGCGTCCATATTTAATCATATTGCATTGCTGGCTGTTAAGTTCTATTTATAGACAATAAGGCATTAATTGACTGAAACATTTTCAATGCAACTTTGCGCTGTTCCTGTTGGTTCACACAATCAATTGAAACTTTCTACAATGTTATGACATAGGAAAGAGGAGTTTTTGTTAAAAAAGACAATCAATACATCATACGCTTACTCGGACATTGACATTCGTAAAATTGCCAGGACATTACAGACACTGAAACATTAATGCTCAGACATTTAACAGTCAAGTCATATAAAAATCTAATATATAGCAACATATTAATGAAACATTTTGTGGCATAACTGCATCTTTTTCTTGATTACAACTCAACACAATTTAAGAAAACCTCGTAACAGAAGCGTGGATATGGTGTTGTTTCAAACTCCAGGAAACTCAATCTCCTCTCAAACTATCCATAAATCATCGACCCTTAGGTTTAATTTAAAAAGGATTTAAAGTAAGGTGCAATGTGGAAGGCAGTTTTTTGTTACGACTATTCATGTAACATTTTGTTCAGAGGGGAATCCTTTAAACAATTTAACAAAAAGTGCTGCTTTTCAAGTTTAAAAGGGACAAATCTAGGGTAGAAACTTACTTCAACAACACGCTGAATAAGTATCAAGTTGTCATACTAAATCAGAAATCCAATTTCAATTTTTTCATCAATTCCTTTTGAAAACAGAGGTTTACCAGGTCACAGCAAAACCGATGTCTGCTGATACTGTACAGAATCCTTTTCTTACGTTTACAATTTCTATGTGGTCCAAATCAGCAGTAAAACCTAGTTAAGAGACCGACCATTTGCACTGCCGACAGTTCTAGTTATCTTGTGTACTCAGAAGAAGGAAACAAAACAGAATGTTCTCCAAACCAGTTAAAGGCACATTCCAGGAATAAAGCAGCCCCCTGATCACAATCCATCAAAAATTAGTAGGGAGTAACAGGATGCATGAACAAACTATCAGCATTTAGCCACAATAGATATAAAAATGGAGCAAGCCATGGGGTGAACTTTCGAAAGCATCTTTTATGCACTTTTTTTTAGTAGTTAAGATTCAGAGAATCGAAAAGAGGCACAAATACTTTGGAGAGAAGAGTGCGAAGATCATGTCTTAATGCTGCAATGCATATTTAACCCTTACAAATCCAGCATTTTCCAATTAAGCAGGAAACCACACTTATGCAAAAGCTATGCTCACATGATGGATGGTTCTTATGACGATGTATTGCAGTTCATAACCATGAACAGACTAGAATATGCAAAGACTTGTTCAATTTTGTGAGGAAAATAAATCAAAACCTTTGTCAAAACAATAAGCAAGGAAAGGTAAAAGTATAATAAGCAGAGGCATATTTTTAAATGAGAATTTGGAAAATTGTGATTTTGAAAAGGAAAATTTGCAGAAAGGAATGGACAGGAGTATGCTAAATATAAAAGTCCTCTTAATTTACAGAACGGGAAACATTAAGAACTCTCACCTTGCAGGAATTATTTCTAGAATATTTTTCCTCTCCACAAGGACCCACCTTTTCAAGTCTGCAGATTCCAAAAGTAACTGCTCAGTTACAAGGCTGTCTGTCAATGATTGCCTCCACTAGAGAATGCAGATCAGCAAACTCTCTGTGGCCTTGACTAGCAACCAAAAGCAGTTAAGCCATGAAAAGTCAGAACAGAACAGGCAGTAATACAAAACTTACAAACACCTCCGCAAGGAAATAGTTCTTACACTCTGCTCCTTCCCACCAACAAATTACACGCATTTCTGAGTACTGAGAATACTCCAAAACAAGGGATCGTGTAAATAACTCATTTGATTTGATAACCTTAGCCATTACAAAAGAATTGAAACCAACTTGTATATTTATATGGCAGCAGTGAAAGCCATGTTGTATTAGGATGCATAAATACCTTAGCAGATTCCTGAAGGGTAAGAGTTATTCCCAAGGAACTGGAACCAATTTAATTTGTTTTTTTACTGATCGTAGTGATTTATTGAATCAAATCATGAGGCACTAACAACTGGATGCTAAGTACTTACCCCTCAGTGTCCCAGATACATATTTTTTCATTTAAAAAAATAAAAAAACGATTCAGAGATTTATCTCAGTGTGTAAAAAGGATATTGGGCAAGCAATATGACAGGAGAACCTAATTGGAACACTCTTGGAATGCCAACTAAGGGAGTGGCTCTTCTTTCCAACATTTCCAATGCAGTCTATGCTTTCATGCTAATCATGTACAGTCTTAAAATTCATTAGGTTTCAAATTTTGACAGCATTATTCTAATCAAAATGAACTTGGTTCTCTTGTGATTCAGTCACACATGGGTGGGTGAGGGCAGGGGGGAGAGAAGGAACAGATGGAATGCAACGCTATGATGCATCACCCTCAGATTGCATCTCTCTGGGTGACATCATGCGAAGGGCATCAATTTGCAGTAAATACGACAACCTCTTCCAATGGTTCAACGGCTCAAAGGGGGGAAGAGTATTACTTGGTATTGCAATGTTGCAGTACTGAGCCAATAAAAGCCAGGAGATACCAGCTAACTAACATTTGTTTAAACGTTCATTCAGCAATTTATTTCAGTGCTCCTGGAAGAGGCTGGGGGAAGTGAGAGAAATAATAAAAAAACAAGTGTTGTCCTTCCTACCAATGGCTTTTATGTGTGAATGAGTTTGGGGTCAACAGTAGTGCTGTGATTAAATAAGATAGCCTGTCAAGGTTGACATAAGAATGACAAGTTGAGTGTCATTGTACATCTGCCAACACTTGTGAAACTCCAGGATGTGTTACCACTGTTAAAAAAAACTTAAGAAAAAGATTGAAAATACATGTGGTGGAGCGAGGGAAGGGAAAGAGGAAAAAAAAGGTTTTCAGATTGTTGAAAGAAAATACATACATGGGACACATCTTGGGTTAACCACTTACCATTAAAGCATTTAATAGGATTATCTTCTCTATTAAATAAGAGATTTGTAGCTTTCATCTATCCTTTATTCTGCATTTCCAGGAACCAAGAAAGAAAACAAAAAGCACCTAATTGCTAAAACAAAATCATATGCATATAAACAAGCTTAGAGTTATAGGAATATTTGTCAGCTGAGTAAGTTTAAACTTCTAAATCTACAACTGTTCAGAAGCCTCAAACTAACAGTAAGCTGCTTGTTCAATAGGAACCATCTGCACATCTTTATGATTGCTTATCCACTGGAGTTAGTACAGCAAGGGTTCAATGGGGCAGCGTGAATAAATCAACAATGCACGCCTTCATAGGAGATCAAATGTGTGTCCTAAGCTCTTTGCAAACTCAACTTAAAAACACTTGCATTTGATAAAGCACCTTACAGGTCAGGAATACCCCTCAAAGCGCTTCACTGGATTTTACTGAAAAGCGTAATAACTGTATTGCCTGTATTATAGGCAAACCTATTTTGGAGGGCAGGGGACCAGCAAATCGGCCACCATCAGCTTACTGTTGCATTTTGCATATTGCGTTCTTGGCAAATAAAACAGCATGGCAGAAACAGCTTTCCTAATCTCTTGGAAAGTACACAATCCAGGACAGAACAGAAGAGTTTAGGTAAAGGAGAAAATTGAACCTGGAAAACAAAATAACCCAAAACATTGGAAATGTAGAACTTGAGTGTGAAATGAACAATGGAACGAAAATTCCTACCGGCACCACTAGACATGTTCTGCTGAGAGAGAGAAACAAATTAAGAGCGACAAAATTCCATTTAAAGCACTGATGGAATTAGTTACTCCATAAAACAAATAACCAACAATATTTTCATGACAATATATAAGAGAAGTTGCACACAAAATTTGTTTTGAACCGAAACCAACAACACTCGCCAGTCATAAGGGGAAATCCGGCGTTTGAAGGATGTCAACACTAGATGGCAACAACGCCTGTGGGTTTGGGAGCACAACACTAAAACTGTTGGAACAGCAGAAACAAAGCTTTGCCTCAGGACTTTACATACCATTGCTCACTTGTCACCAATGTGGAAGCTACTCCAGCCCAGAATGTTAAGTGAGCAAGTGGAAAGAAAGAAAACTACCTTTTGTTTCAAGTGATACTCATACAACCTTGGGAAACACACTGGAAATTGGCAATGACCTCCCAATTTGCATGCTAATGCAGATAATATTAAGCTACTTCCAGCCCTTGGATCTGACTTACTCAATGGGCAGATGCAGCAAGTGTTCCACATGAAAATAAATTTGCAGCTGGCAACAAGCTCAAATGGCGGATATACAAGTTTATGTACAATCAAATTGAAATCTAAACTGAGTAGTATTAGAAGGATTGAGTTCCAAATTGTCCTCATAAAATGCAAAACCGCATGGGAGGAAAAATGACATATTGCTGTCCTTTCAGACGTCAGGGACCTCTGAAAACAGTGTCAAAAAATACCATCAGCTCTGAAGTGCTGTTTCTGATTTCCTTGGTGGAATATTTGAGACACAATGCACTAATCAGTTTTGTGTTTGGCAATGTGCATGAAAACTGTTCAGAATAGTCTCAGCCAGGTACAAAGGTAGCCAATGAATTGATGTCTGATGGTACACACCGGATAACAGTTGTGTAGCACCAGCCATGGAAGACTTCTTGTTTCCCAACACCTGGAGAGGTGCCAATCAAGCAATTTTTTTTGGGAGAGGCAGCTTCAAGGGCTCAGAATATTTAGGACTTCAAAACTCTTCTGTGGATAAGTCCTCAGTTGGGACAGCTAAAGCTGGAAGCATTGAAGGTAGATGAAATGGTAGTGGTTTATGTTGATAACAGGTACACAAATGGTAACATGACAGTGGAGCCTATTTGAAGATTGCTTTGAAGAGGCCAGAGGAAAAGCTGATGTTTTTCTGGTATCAAAATCTGTCCAAGAACCCTGAATACTTAAGCACAGGCAACAGGTCAAGCGTAGAGCGGTGACATCAAGAATGATCATGGATACTCCAGAAATGAAGTTTCGGAAAATGGTATCATCAAGTACAGTATCAACAGTCTGAACGCTGGAGATGAACAGCGTTATAAAGAGACTACTCTCCCTAACAGAATATGTCAAAATGAGCTGCAAACTCTAGTGCTATGTTGAGGATGTAATGAAATGCTGGCACAAAATACTCAAAATATCCACACAAACTGAAATTTACTACCAGTGGAGTTTATACAAAAAGGGCCTAATATTCAATTTAAACAATTCACAGTATGGTGCACAATCATGTACAATAAGCTATTCTTAAAAATTACAGTGGGAAGTGAACTCCTGCCTTACACCAGAGAAGCCCGACCTGATTGACTTCAGAAGAACCACACCTGCTGGCTATTACAGGGATACAACTTACCTGTAGCCCTTTCCCGGATTTTGGGGACGTCCTTTTCTTTCTCAGCTTTAGCCTTTTTCCCCCCTTTTTGTCCTTTGTCTTGGCAGTTCACCAGGATCAATCTCTTCATCACTACCCATGTCCTCCTAATCTGTAAGCACAATAGATAACCTACCTTCAGCTGTTTTCCTAGCCTTTCTGGATGTTTTTTTCTCCTTTTCAATTCTACTTTTTTTCCCTTTTTTTCCTTTTTTCTTGGAAGCCTCGTAGTCACTGTCACCGTGGTCCAACTCTTCATCACTTCCCATGTCCTCATCTGAAAGAATAACAACCCTTTTAAATAAGCAAACCAGAGTGATCCAATGCTTGTTGGCAAGTGCGCATGCGACAATGCATCAGGAGGCTTTAAATCGGGGGGGAAAACATAGTCTTGACCCATCATTACATTGGCTGCACTTACCGGCTATAATGAATTATGCATGCACAGTATAGATGAATTAAATCGGATTTTATACAGTTTGCCTGCAACTTAGGACTTCACAAAGTCATATTAAATGTTATGGTCCTGATTGATATGACCTGTGAGTTTTACTGTAAAACACACTGTTGAGTGGCAGGTCATGTCACTCTGTGCTCAAAAGACCTGCATGCATCAACTAACTGACCAAATTCATTACAGCAGCCAAACTTTAACCTTCAAGCAGACCTCTACTACAATATTGAATAACTTAACTGATATTGCTTCCTTTCTTATGGAATCATTAATGTATACCCACCAGGTGAATGGGATGTGTCCTTCTTGGACAGTGCAATGGCAGCCTTTAGGTCCTTCTCGTATACCTTGTCATCTGATTCATCACTGCCAAATATATAGAAACGAATACACGTAAATACTAAGGGTAATGTAGCATATCCATGAACATCTGTGAACAAGGCGCAAGGGGAACAGCTGACAGACCCAAAAAATAAAGCCTCAATTCATTTCTTTGAATGGACTCAGAACCCAGGCTCCCAAAGCGCAAAATTATTTGTCAGACTAAATAACTAGGGTAACATGAATGTCTGAAACTAGGGCGACCACCAGGATCGGATTAAATTTCAACATTCTTCAAAACATATGCACTACAATACAAAGTTACATTTGTTTAGCGCCTTTCAGTTGGGAGGACGTACAAGATATATTACAAGGGGTTTCCAAGTCTTCAAAACAATATGGGGGTGGGGGAGAGAAAGTGGAATAAAGGAGAAGTATAAGCATTCTCACAAAACATCACCTTTCATCCCGTGCGTTCTTTGCAGATTTTCTTTTAGTTTTTCCCTCCCGCGGAGACGCTCGCGCTCGCTTGGTTGGAGGTGGCGAGTCTCTTCCATAAGCTTCTTCTGGAATGACAGAACTAGATTAACACTGCGGCCGTCTCCATTACACACCTATTCCTAAAAGAATGATGCAGTTTACCAGCCTGGGGAAAAAGAGTCCCAATACCCAGAGCGCAGGGCTTGGTTAAAGGCTGTTGGATAGAGGTTCAGATGCAATTTGGTTTCGTACACATAGGACAATACATCAATGAAAGTCCTGCAATGCAAAAAAAAGCCGCACAACTCATGAAGCACTGCAGACTTCAAAAATTTCTTTATAAACTGATCGTTCAATCAACATCCAACTGCACCCCCCCTCATCTGACTTAGTTATCTAGAACATCTCTGTAAAGTGCAAATGGATTCTTGCTGCACTCTTATTTTAATTTCCTTTATCCATTGCTCTTTTGATACACATGTTGATATCTGATCAAAATATATTAACTAGCTTCAGTCATCATTTCAACATAAACGTGATGCTCTGTGATGTGTAACTTGGCGTACAGTCCTATTCAGATTAATTGCAAAAAAGCTAAAAACTACAATTTATGGAATCTGCTGGGACACGCTGAGAAGTTGCAAAAAAAATGGAATGAAAATTTCTAGGGATAACCCATCACCCAAAGTACAATGAAGGACAAGTACAGAATTGTGACAGGCTTAAAGATGCAAAAATGGACCAGGTAGTAATGAAATAAACGTTTTGACAGTTAACAGAAAGCTAATCTTATGTTAGTCGTGCTATGACTGTTGATTTTCAAAACAAATCCATTAATAAGCAATGTTGTACAGGCCTTGCAGAATTTTGTAATGATCCTTGGGTTTTTGTCAGCCATCCCTTCAGAGAGAAAAAAAAGGTACTGATGTGGCAAACTAACATCAGAGGTATGCCATCATTGGCCTGAGTTACAGTGAGGTAAAGAGAAGGGAAATTTAGCCAGTGCTTCTTTATTCTGGTCGCTATCCAGGAAAAAATGAGTTCCGTGTCTTTGGGAAAAAACATGATTAGGCTTGGGTGCAACTCTCTTCTGTTGGATATACCAACACGTACTACATCAGTTCACAGATCAAAAATATTTATTTAGGCATGATACTGAGGAGGGCCCAGAAGTGTGCCACAACACCTTTACAAGATTGGGGTGGGGGGGGGGATAAAATGTACTTACTCTTTATTTACTTTAAAAAAAAGGATTTTATTTACTTACTTCATTTACTTTAAATAAAATTGGTTCAATTTACAATATCCAATTCACACACTGACAAGCGCTTTTCTTTCACTTGCATCCCCACTCACCCTTGGGCATTCCACACTATCCCTTGCTAGGTCAATGAAATTCTGCTGCCGAAAATCCCAGTTATTTAAAATTAAAAACGTATCTGGCCTGATGTATATTACATACCATCAGAATCTTCAAACTGTGAGTAGTCAATGACCTTCCTATTCCTGAAAAAAAAGAAAATGGATATTGATTAGCTACAGCAACTGTTTAATACACAGTGCAAATGAGGTAAGGATTTTAAATTTGAAAAGGATGATTATTAAAATACCACAGAAACAGCTAAACACAACAGCCACAACTTCACAAAACGATCGATTATAAACAGTTACTCGTTTTTTTTAAACTTTCTCCTTGCATGAGATGACAAGTGGGCAGCATGTTCCCTAACTTCTTCCAATAATGTTCTTGGCCCAGAAATTGACAAGTTTGGACATAGGCTTCAATCTGCAATTTCTTGAACAGTTGACTGCGAAATAGAATCAAGACATTGCCATAAAAATCGAATGAGAAGACAGTTCATCTATGATCACTGTTACGCACCCCTCCCAGCATTCCTCGAAAAAATGGGCAGGGGATTGAGAACTGGTCATTAGCGCATATTGGAAAGCTGAAACAATGCACGATTCTGGGAATGGGAAGGAAAACAAATAAAAGCCTCATGGAAAGCGTTTTCTGTTTAAATTCATAAATCCATTTTCACACTATAATGAACTGCAAATGTAATCACAGAAGTTAGTGTAGAAGACAGCCATTCAATCCATCAGAAACAAGCTGATGCTAGCTCAACGACTGAACCTCTGCAACCCCACCTTCATGCTCCCTCTCCATACATTTATATGAACCTAAAAACCCATGTACATAAAAAATATTCCAACCTATCCCTTAACTCTTCATATGACTGAAGTGAGGCTCCCTCGTTACTGATTTACTAAATCAACATCAAGAATCTTTCACTATCTATTCTCTCAAAACCTTTTAGTTTTTGAAGGCCTCTATTAAATCCCCATTAACCTCAGTTCCAGGGGGGAAAAAAATCTAATTCTACAAGTTTATCCTCACAAGTCTTATGCTTAAAAAAATTAAAGTAATTTGGACTGCTATGAAGGCAACCAAATTATTGCATTAATGGCAGAAATAACATGTTACATTTTAAACAAAAATGTCCACCTTCTAGATCCACCATCTTGATCCTGGGACTACTCTGCAAAGGAGCTATGCATTCTTTTCCTCCCCCATTCCAGATCTAATTATCTTTTCAGATGTGGATTTTAGGGCAAAATTGTGAGACTACAGGTACTGTAGTTCAGGAATGCAATTACGTTTAGAAAGCTCAGCTTACACCCCCACCGCTTCAGAAGGGGAAGCAGGGGATCAAAAACCCAGAATGCAGCCACAGCATTTATAGCCTCGTTCGCCTCTCCCAACTTTTGCAGAATCGGGAATGTAGACACCGACTAATGACCCCCACAGGGCTGGGGCTGAAAAAAAAACATGTTGGCAAATCGTTTTTTTTTCTCTCGAAACGGGAGCATCTTGAAAATGCTGCTTCTAAGATTTAAAACGCTCCGACTAACATTCGCGTCATAGGGGGAAAAAAAGTGGGAAATTTGAACACGGTGCCACGGTGTCTTTTAAATATCCAATTAAAAATCCGGATCCTTTGGATCTGCGATCAACTGCTTCTCGCACACGCTTCGCGCACTGGGCAATCACGAGCCGAATTTCCAACACACAGAAAACAAAAGCCCTTCAGCCATTATTTTGACCTGGAACCATTTAAGCCTCAAAACGAAGCATTGATCCCGAACAATTTTTTTAAAAAAAAAGTGGATGGGTTACACAACTCGCCCTTTCCCCCCCCCCCCGAGGCACGCTCACACACACAAAAAAAATACAGTAAAACTAACTGCAACCTCATGCCTCAAGGCAACACGTTTAATTTAAGGGGGAGGGGGGGGGGGAGATTGTGTGTGTGTGTGTGTTGTGCAAGGCAATTTGCAGTCCAAGGATCAAAAATGGCACTGCTGCTCGGGAACCACAGATGAACAGCATAAAGCAAGAGTAAAAAAGAGAGGGATGGGGGGGCGGGGGGGAGAGAGGGAGAGAGAGAGAGGGAGGGAGTGGGGGAGAGAGGGGGAGGGAGTGGGGGGTGAGAGAAGGAGAGAGGGAGTGGGGGGGAAGAGGAGAGAGAGAGAGAGGGAGGGAGGGAGTGGGGGAGAGAGAGAGAGGGAGGGAGTGGGGGAGAGAGGGAGTGGGGGAGAGGGAGAGGGAGGGAAGAAGGGAAAACAACTGCAGCAAGACTGGAATATATGTATGTATGGGGCGGGGGGGGGGGAGAGAGAAAGAATCCAACACAATCTGTACACTTGCAAGGAGAGGGAGGGAGGGTGTGGGGGGGAGGGGGGGGAGAGAGAGAGCGCAATTTATTTTCATGTGGAATATAATGTCCACACACACACACATACACACACACACAGGGGCGCTGACATTAAATAAAAAAAAGTCACTACGGAATAATTTACGGCGGGCACAAGGCAAAGGGGTATATAACGCAGCTTTAAGAAACGAACCCCCCCCCCACCCTTCCTTCCTCCCTCTCGTGTGCGACTTACATGTGTGTGTGTGTATATATATATTTAAAAAATCGTACGACATTTTTCCCTCCCTCCCCTCAATTTCGGGAGGGAAACCGACGACTCCAAACACCGACTCGACTCACCTGACAGGCCTGGACATCTCGTCGGCGGCGGCGACGACGGTGGTGGTGGTGGAAGAGGGTTTGGGGGGGAGTGGGTGGGTGGGGGGGGGGGGGTGAAGAGAGAGAGGAAACACACACCTTTCGGGGTGGGGGGTAATTCTCTGAACAAAACCGAAGCTCCCTTTTTTTTTCTCCCCTCCTCCTCCTTTTAAAAATCTTCCTCCTGACTTCCTCACCTCACTCACTCACTCCCTCCCTCCCTCCCCCCCCCCACCACCTCCCGGGCCCTCAACACTTTTTTTTAAAAAAAAAATCCCTTTCGATTTTCAACCTCAACCCTTCTCTCTCCGCTCCAACGTGCGCGCGTGTCTTCACACACACACACCCATCCCCCCCCCTCCCTCCCCAAGTAAGAAGTATTAAAAGCCTTAAAAAGGCAGGAGAAAGTGTGGTGGTGGTGGTGGTAGTGGGGGGGGGTGGGGGTGGTAGTGGGGGTGGTGGTGGAGGGAGAGTGAAAGGGTGGGGGTGGGGGAGTGGAGTGGGGGGAGAAGAGAAAAAGAGAACTAGGCCGCAGGCTTCAGCGCACGCAAACGCTAAAAAAAAAACGAGTTGGGTGAGGAGTGAGGGGGGAGAGAGAGAAGGGGGGTGTGGGGGGGGGGGGGGGGGTGAGAGGGGAAACCAACGGCCTGATTTTTTTTTGACAGGAAAATAAAACGGAGCGGGGAGGAGGGTTTAACCCTTCGCCCTCTTGCTGAGGGGGGAGACAGAAATCTTCCTCTCGGGCTCGAAGTAAATGGCTAACGGCGCTCTCGAGCTGAGAGGAGCGCGGGGCGGCGCTGAGGGGATTTTTCTCCCTCCCCCCCACCCCACCACCTCTCTCTCTCTCTCTCTCACTATATATATATATATATCTCGACTTGGCGGAGCTGGAAGCCCCCAACGTGCCGCGCGACCTCCTTCCCCCCCCCCCACACACTCCCTTCTTCCTGCCTTCCCGCCTTCCCTCCACGCGCAGTCCCCGCCCTCCTCCTCCCGTCCATTGGCCCGTTGAAAAATCAACCCGCCCTCGGATTGGATGAAGCGCCCGTCACTCACTCGAACGACGCCGCCCAGGACCCACGCCCCGCCCTCCGGTCCCAACGTCGACGGCCAGACCGTTTTTTTTCAAAAAAAAAAGAGCAGCTCGGCGTTTCGCCTCGGCACATTCGCGGTTCGGTTACAAAGTCGGCTGCCGAGTCCGGTTTACAACAAATGAGGGCTCGTTTCCACCCTCCTCCTCCCCACCCGCTTTTTTAAATTTTGTCCCTAACGGAGGAAAGGGAAGAAACGTCGAGTTTCTTCACCGCCGCCTCCTCCCCCGCCGCCCACCCAAGCCATTGAAAGCCCTTACTTTCAATTTCGGGGGCGGCAGATTCGCTTGCTGAGGTGCCGCCATTGTTCTCCTCCTCCTCCCTCCCCCCTCATCAGCAGGATAGGATGGCCGTTTATTCCTCAGGTACGACTTTGGGGAGAATGTTAGGACCCGCTTTGATTTTTTTCTAACCCCCCCCCCCCCAAAAAAACCCACACACACACACACTTTGTGAAGCTGGCAGTCCCAGCCATTGTAAAATTGGCGGCAAAACAAAACACCCCCTCTCCTCTCCTCTCTTCTCACCTCACCCTCCTCCTCCCTCAACCCTCCCCTTCCCTCCACCATCTTAGTCTGCCATCGCTTTGCCCAGGCGAACAGCTTTAAACCCGACACTTTTTTTTTTACACCCCCCCCACACACACCACCACCGCGTCTCCACCCACTCGGGTTTTTAAAAAAAAAAAAAAAAATTTTTTACACATAAAATACATATCAAATAAATTATTATTAACATTAAAACAAAAAAAAATACGCCACACTCGACGGGTTTGCCGAAGACAGTCAGTCAGTGAGGTGCATGTACACAGGAGGGTGGGAGTGGGGGTGAGGGGGTAAACTACTAACACTCTTCAACCCCTGAAGCTGATTGAGATCACCCCCCTCCTCCCTCCAGTTTAATATTCATTATCAGTAATAATGTGTTTGCACAGCACTGCCCCCCCACCAAGTGCTCTGGGGGTGACGGGCATCACATAATTGACCCACAGCACTGATATCCATTCGGGGATTAGGACCACGTCCGCACGTCCGTTCGGTTTGCTCGGGGTATCGGAAGGCGATGGCTGCCTTCGCCGGCCGGGTTTCTGGAGTTTGCGCGGCCTCTGCAAGAGTCGCAAGGGCGCGCGTGTGTGTGTGTGTGTGTAAAAAAAAGCTCCCGAGCAGAGGTTCCCGAAGCTTCCCCGTAGCTTGGTGAATTTCACGTGAAATGCTAAAACATTGGTGGTTTTTTTTTTGTGTTTCTATCGCATAAGATGGACTTTCAGGCCAGGACGCTGGACTCATTTTAAGAAGCAGTTTGGTGGTGTTGTTAAGATGGTAGGTTGGGGATGGGGGGGGGGGGGGGGGGGTACTCTGGAAGCATGAAACCAGATGAGCTGAACGACCAAGCCAATCAAAGTGGCAGCACCATTGCACACAAAAATGTCCCACAACCAGCCATGGAGCGAGTGATTGACCAATTTTATTTGGAACTCCCTTTCCCTTCTCCTTTCGAATAGTGCCATGAGATAACGTTCCCCTGAACAGGCAGACTGGACCTCGATTTAACGTCTCAGCCAAAGGGTGGGCACCTCTTGACAACGCACCGCAGTTATCCAGGATTTAAGTTTCAGAAAAAAGACAATTGCAATAAAAAGATTACCTACCTCGTAGGATATTCATTATTATTTCAGTGTAATATCCTGAACACATCAGAAAAGCCAGCTCTGTAATTTTGCCACCGTGGTACATATTAATATCAGCTGTCTCTGAGCAACACAAAACCGTTCTCCACAAAAGGTGAGTTCACACACATCTTTGAGCAACAGCTCATTTTTGTACCATTGAACCCTTACAGGTTTGTGCACTCCCACAGAGGGTGGAAGCATAGTTTGTGGAGGTTGCTACACAAAAATTCATTTGCTGAAATATAGTTTTTAGAGCACATCAGAAAAAGTATCCTTCATAATCCTTATATTCCAGGAATGCGCTATGAAAGTCCTCATCAATTACTGTGCTTCTAGATGACCTTTATTCTTATCTATTTCCATACTACAGTGCTGAGTGTTTCTAGGATTCCTCAAGCACGTTATGAAGTTTAGGTTCAACAACTGTCTGCAGTTAATCATCCCAATGTCAAATAATAGTCATCATATTCCCTAGGTGGAAGCTTTTGAGGAACACTGAACACTGAAAACTTTTGAAAGATTAATGAAGTCAGGCACTGTATATTGTGTATAAAACAAAGTCTATTCTTATACCCTGTCATTTGCTCAAGTTATACTAGGGATAATTGATGGATACAAGTCTGGAGGGAGAGATGAGCAAAATACACCTACCTTTGTGTTTTCAGTGCAAACTCTCAACACTTTGTGCTGTGCAAAGTTCCCACTTCCTCTACATTTTAAGGAGGAAAAAATAAATGCTGAAGAAACTCACGTTACCCAAATCATTTGTTGAAAGTTCAGTTAATGCCCGAATAGGAATTTTCTCCATTAATTGATTCCTGTTGACAGCTTTTGGAATTAATCGTGAACACTAAAGAGGCTAATGTTAGGGGGGCAAAAAGTTCAGAAGATGATAAACATTCAAGTTGGAATAGACTACAGAACAAATTGCATTTCGTGTACCTTTACATTAATATTAAAATAAAAAACTTCACCCTCCAAGTCTCACAAAATACCAGTTGTATGAATATGACCCAGTGAGACAACAGCCCTTATATTTGCTGCCAACAGGGAGCACTCGTGAGCACTGAATATCACACTGAATCTTCTAAGCTGTGCAATTGTTCAGTTGGATTTTTAGCTCCAGGACCTGCAGTGCGGAGAGAGAGAGAGAGAGAGAAAAAAAAGGGAGAGCGAGAATAAAACAAATCTGAACAAAAAGTAATGTAAAAGGATTATTTTAAAAAAACACGCATTATGCTATTAACAAATCATTCAGCAGTCTTAACGTTTAAAAAATACATCAAAGTTTCAGTTCAGACAAACCAAGCCACGCTTAGACAAAACAATGCCTTTTTCCTTGGAAAAAGGGTGAAACCAAGAATAAATCACTGTTGTAGGGTGACAGGTGAACAAGCTGCATAGTCCATTGGAAAAAACTGCTTACTCGATTAAAGCAGGTTAATATTTATACTGCAGCACATCAGTGAATTTTCCATAACAAGAATGGAAACCAGTCAGTCGTCAATAATTAGAACAAAGTACTTTGGCAGTTCAGCCAGCAATACCCATCTGATTGTTCTGAAAACTAATCAGCAACAAAACCGGCTACTGGTCATCTCCCCTGCAATTGAATCATCAAAAATCATTCAGGTTCATCAAGTTTATGGAATCATCATTGACGATCATGCCCCTGTTGAGCAGTTTCACTCATTTGCATTGTAGGCAAGCGTGGCAGCACAATTGCACACAAAAATGTCCCACAACTAGCCATAAAGTGAGTCGGTGACCAATTTAAATGATAAGTAGTAATAAGAGTAATAAGGTTCATAGCGCCCAATGCTGTTTTAGTGGTCCTATCTAAATCTGCACTTGTTGCAATTTCAGTCCAGGACCCACCATCATTTGGCTTTCAGTCCTCATCAATCTGCATTTAATACCGACAGAAAAACATAGTATATTGTGATATTGCGCCTTTCACGTTAGGAGGAAGTCTCAAAACACGCTTCACTGGATTCTCTTTAAAGTGAAGGAAGATGAAGAATGGAGTGAAGGGTACAATGGGCAGTTCGCTGCAGCTTTTGTTAAGTACTTGAACTGTAATGAACTCACTGGAACTCTGCTTATCTGCCATCCTTTGTTCACTGCAACAAAAACAGTGGCAGGAACATGGTTGTTTAATTCCATTTGGCTCTGCCTACAACGTTTTAGCAGTTTCATTCTTTAATACACTACCTGCATGAATCAGGGCATGTTAATTTAGTCACAGGACTTAGCATGGTCTGATGTGCCCACACACTATCCCCCACTCTC